GACAGCGCATGCATCTCTACATGCGTTGTCCATATGGAATAATTTCTCTGTGCCTATGATGTGCACATGCAAATGTCTGTGCCTATGATGTACTTCAGTAAATTATATATATTAAAATGATACATTAAAAAATATTATATTTTAAAGGCTAAATATACAAAAAATTGTCCTATGTATGTAATTTTTTCTAAATTTTAATTTTTCAAGATAAGAGATAATAATGCCGCACTATGAAAAATAGTATTACATGATCATTACTGAATTGATTCAAGCGATTATGGACTGGACATGTGCTAATGAATCAATCCCAACGAGTGTAAAGGAGTGTCAATCTACACAGAGCGAACGATCCAGTTGACCGAACCGACAAAATCAACCTTCGAAAAAATAGACGAATGACTAGCTAACCTAGGAGCCAACGAAAGTGGAGATCCGACGAGTAATGATTCGACCATGGTAATGGCTACCTTGACATTTACGATGGTTGGCCGACAATAGATAATTTCAAATACATTATTGACATTTCGTAATGTAACTTTTAACGACTATAAGTATAAGGAAAAATAACATAAAAAGGGAGAGAGAGAAAACACAATGATACATTACTGATATTATAAGCCCTTAAATTTCATTCTCCCCGTTTTTCCCTCTCTTGTTATTTAAGTTCTATTCATTGAGTTTGACTCATTCAACAAATATATAATTCATAACTTACAAAATCATACAATATGGCGATTAGTCGCTTCTACAGACGTCGCCACCCCAACGTTTGTCTCCTCTAGCAGCCAATCACCATCGCTACCATCAGATATCCCGTCTGTCGTTGTCACCCCGCTAACACGTCACAGCCACCACCGTCGACGTTGCAACATGAGACAACCACCCCCACTGCTAACCACCTTCGCCCCAAGTGACCTCCTCCCACAACTGCCACCTCCTCCAATGATTTATATAAGAACTTAAATACTTTGAAATATATTATTTTCATTCAACTTTAAATAAAATAAAAATTAAATAAAATAAAAATTTATACTCATATGTTTATTGTTTTCATTCAACTTTAAATAAAATAAAAATTTATACTCATATGTTTATTTTACAATAAAATAATTTATTTTAAAATATTGCAAATACATTATATTTTTTCTGTATTATATAATTTTTATTGCTTCATGATGATTCTATCTTGCGCTTAAAAAAAAGGGGGAATTTTACAGACATACCACCAATTCTTTTGTATTTATATATATCTAACACCAAAAATTTGATATTAGACAACAAAAAACATTATTTTAGAAAATTAAAATTTTAGCAAATTAAAACATTTATTTACTATAATACCCTCGATAAATGTATCATGCAAATAATCAATTAGAAATTATGTTTATTCATCTAAAAAAATTTCATAACTTTAATATCTATTTTCGTCAAATTATAATATCTTGACAAAATATTTTTGTGAATTTCTTAAAGCTTTGATACATAAATATAAAAAAAAAATTAAATATGTGTTGAAATAATTAATATTCAAATTCATAATTAAAATGCTATATGTATAAATTCATAAGAACCAGCCGACACGAAAAACAATCAATTTGGATTGAACCAAGACCTGACTGACACTCAAAGCCAAATCACAAGCCCGACCAAAGGCCGACTAAAGGAGGTGGCCGACCATAGAAGTATCAGGAATATAATTGACGTTTCACAACTATTCTAGTGCCCTATAAATAGAGGAACGATAAATGTAATATGAGTTACGGAATCTAAGACCACAATGCTTGATTTCTAAATCTCGCTTTCTCTCTATTTTCATTCTTCATTTATCTTTATTCCTTGGGTGTGATTCACAGACAAATTTCAGGGCAACAAAGACAATTATCAAACAGTATTCTTGATAATAATGAATTTTGTGAGCTTGTAATGAATTATTGGAGATATCTTTAAGGATTTCATATTGCTAAACTCCCATTTAATGGGTCCATTAATTATATGAAATAATAAGTGATTTTTAAATTCAATCAAGAAAACTAACTATATTTAAAATTAATTAGTGAGTTCGTAGAAGATACCAATTCTAGTGAAAAAAGTTCATTTGTGAATTCCTAAGAAAATAAAATTTGAATAGCAAATTCCAAAGAATGATAAAATTTTCAATCTTATGAATATAACAACAATTTTATGAATACAATTAGGGTTGTCAAAAAAGGCTCGTTGCTCCCTAATAGCTCGTGTTCAACTCGTTAGTTTAACAAAGGAGCCAAACACGAACAATTTTTTATGCTCGAAATATAAATAAGCCGAACACGAATAAATATTTGTTACCTCAAGTTCGGCTTGAAAAGAAATCCATAAATTTAAAAATAAATATAAATATAAATATACTGAATAATCCACGGTGTTTCCGTGGAATAACACCTTGTAACACCACGGAATAACACCTATTCGAAAATTTTTATGCTCGAAATATAAACATGCCGAACACGAACAAATATTTGTTAGCTCATGTTCGGCTCGGATTGACTTGAAAAGAAATACATAAATTAAAAAATAAAAATAAATATAAATATACTCAATAATTCACGGTGTTATTGGTGTTATTCCGCGGAATAACGCAGTGTAACACTACAAATAACGCCGCGGAATAACACCTATTCGGGTGTTATTCGCGGTGTTATTGGTGTTATCCGTGTTTACCCGCGGTGTTATTTGCGGTGTTATTCCGCGTAATATGGTCTAACGAGCATATTTCGAGCCGAATAATAGCTAAACATGAACATGTATATTTTATTCAAAACGAACACAAAAACAATGTTCACGAGCCATTTCGAACACGAGCCAAAATGGAACGAGTCGAACACGAACCGAGGCTCAACTCGCTCAAGCTCGGCTCGTTTACAACCCCAAATACAACACTTAAACTTGCAAAAGATAGAAGAAACAAAGTCAAGTTCTATGCTTCATAATATTGTTTAAAGTTGCAGGAATTGACAATAAATGTTTACAAAACATTCTCTGTTACTCGAAGTTCAGAAAACAAGTCAACTTGGTTAATGCCATTTGGATGTGGGAGTCTGCATTCACGAGACCATTAGTGAATTAATGCTAAATTGGAGAACTATTCTTTCAGCCTAAGTCTCACCAACTTCTTGGATTATAACCTAATGAAATTCATGCTGAAATGATGTTTCTATATGATAATATTAATTCTTTTGTCTATATATGATTGTTAGTGAGTTCCAATATCTTTGGAGGCTTCAACCAACATTCATAATTGAAATGTAATTTTCAAATGTTAGGTGTCAATGCTGATTTTGAGAAAGTCTAGGAGTTTTTCAACAATTTCCTCTTAACTTGGCAAGATGAATTAGTAAGTTTTTTTTGTCAGGATAGAAAGTGTTGTGAAAAATGACGGTAATAAAGCGAAAAATGGAACGAGTAAAATTGCACACAGAAAAACACGAAACTGTAGAGGATTTTATTTCTTCGAGGAATTATACTGTTGAGCGCCTCGAAGTTTACAAGAAAATCTCTATTTTCTTCTCTTAAAATCTCTATTCTCTTCTCTCCTTTTTTCTCTCTCTCTTCCTCTCTTTCTCTCTTAGAGGCTTTTCTCTCTCTCTCTATTCCTCTCTTTCTCTCTTAGAGGACTTGGCTTGGCCTTGCTTGGTTTGTGGCTTGGCTTGTGACAAGCCCTAAATAGCTATTTTTAGAAACTTTTAATATGGTGGGAGGTAGGTGAATGATATGTGAGATGTGGTAGGTGAGCTTTAGGTGGGAAGGTAGGTAAGCGGTATGTGAGATTCTTAATTAGGAAGCTAAATAAATTGAGGTGCATCAGGTCTCCACATTACCCAACAATTCTCCCACTTGGAGACTGAGACACTAACTGCATTACCTACTTGTTGCATCATCTATCAGCTGTATCGGTCTTTTCCTCAAACATGATATCCTCCACCTCTGCAACTCAGCCATGGTCTTCATGTTAGAAGACTAGCTGAAGTCGAGCACAACTTCAGCTTCTCACGAGTAACACCCTCAATACATATCTCTGTCAACGTAGTCTTGTACCACCAAGCATTTTCTTGGGTTACTCATGTATCTGCTTACAACTCCCATTACATGAGCAATATTTTGCCCCTGTTGAAAGCCATTTTCAATAAGTCCAGCCTTATACCTCTTACTGCTACCAAGCGCAGTTTTCACCCGGTACACCAACTTGTTGTGCAATGCCTTCTTCCTTGTTGGAAGTTCTGTCAGCTCCCAAGTCTGATTCTCTGACAGAGAATCCGTCTCCTTCTCCTTGGACAGCTCCCACTTGTTTGAATTCTCATCTTGCAAGATTTTTTCATTCCTCTGTGGTTCTCCACCATTTGTATGTACAAGGTCTGATTTTCCTGCCTTTGGCGCTCTGTCTCTTTTTAGGAAATTGACATTCTTCTGTTTCCCCATAATGCACCTTTGACTCATGTTTCCTTGCCTAAGTAAACCTATAGTCATATATAGTGTGTCTATTTTCTTTCCTTTAGCCAGTACTAATGCTCCTTTGGTAACCTTCCGGGTGCTATCTGAGAACATCACCGAATGACCACCCTCATTGAGCTGCCCAATAGAGATGATGTTTTTCTTCAACTCAGGAACGTGTCTGACCTTTTGCAAAGTTCATTTGCTCTTATTACGGAGTGCAATATCAATGTCTCTCATCCTCACCACGTCCAGAGCTTTTCCATCAGTCATATATAGCTTCTCAAAGTTACCTGCAACATAATTTTGCATTAACTCCCGGCGTGTAGATGTATGGAAGGAAGCCCTTGAATATAGTATCTAATGATCAACAGAACTGTGAACTGTCAGCAACAGTTACAACATTAGTGCCATCATTATGCTTC